TTTATACTGTTGAACAAAATAAAAAAGCCCTTAGTGCATATGATGATAAAAGATATATTCTAGAAAACGGTATTGATACTCTAGCTTGGGGACATTATTCAACTAAAATAAAAAGAGAAAATTTCAGAGAATACGTTGATAATTTAATAAAACCAAATAATACAAAATAAAGTTAATTTAAATATTATGAAATTTAATTTTTCAAATATTATTTTTAATTTATTTATTTTTTAATTTTTTAATTTCAAATATTATTTTTATTTTATGCATGTGAACAAAGAACAGGAAATAAAACAATGTAAATATAGATCAGAAATTAGTTTTAAAGTGAAGTGTCCCAGAACCGACATATTGATACTACTTACGTGTAATAAGGATAAAGGATAATTACAATAAGTGTAATGAGGATAAAACCATTATAAGTTTTGACTTGTGAATTTTGATAGTTTTCGACATCCTAGATATCAGGCGGATTGTGGATCTTTATGAAGGATATGATATTTTTAAACTTATATCAAATACCTATAATCTATTTGTATAGGTAAATTACGTGCTTGAACAATTTATTAAAAATGTTATGTCTAGCGTCTAATCGCGGGGTGTTCAAAATAACAAAATTAGTGTCCAAACGTTTTTAATATTCAGGTAAAAATTTAATGTAATGCCAAATACTTTTTGCTCATATGACATAAGCTAATAATTTAGTTATAACTATAATAGGAAAATTTATATTTTAGCTATTTCAAGGAATAAGATATGCAGGAAAGTATTATTCAATTAAAATATTGTAATTCTATTTTTATAACGTTTGTTTAACAATCCGTACCAATATAATATACGAGTACGGCCTAAAAACTAAATCTAATTTGTTACGCTATTATAGTACGTATGTATACTATATTAGAATATAATACAAACGTCAATATACATATTTTACAGATCGACCTAAAAAATTGTTTAGGTGTGGCTAAGTATATTATTATAATATAATAATAAACATTTATTTTAAAATTCTTGCGTATATATGTACGGTAATTGTTTTTTTTTTTGTGTTTTGTTCTTGCAATATTTGACGAAAACGGTTAGTCATAATAAAAATAATTAGAATAAGAATACAACCAAATTTGGTTTGGTTTAGGAACCTATGCGTAGGTGCGTTACTTAGGTAAGTGAAACAAGTAGTTAAGGAACAGTTATACAATAATATTTCGATACGAATAATTACGGTATAGATAATGTAAATCAAAAGTACAATTTTAAGCATTTCGATCATGATAAAATAAATAACACTACCCAGGAATGTGTTTCACCACATANTTTGACGAAAACGGTTAGTCATAATAAAAATAATTAGAATAATAATACAACCAAATTTGGTTTGGTTTAGGAACCTATGCGTAGGTGCGTTACCTAAGGTAAGTGAAACAAGTAGGTAAGGAACAGTTTTTTTTTTACGTATACAATAGTTTATCATCGCGAACGAGTTATTTCGAATAACTTCAGTGACGTCCGGTGGTAATAAGGTGCATTCACATAATCTAAGCGCCATTTTCGACCCCTCCTATCACCGTGGCTAGTTATGTTACAGGACTGAATTTATCCACGGGTTTACCAAAGTTACCAAAGTAAAATGTTGTTTGGAATTTCGTATATCTAGATGGATTAGTTTCCGAGGTATACGAGAGTCCAAAAATCGAAATTTTTGGCTTATATTCACTGGCTGACTGAATCACTCCAAACTATTTATGTACCAAATTTCGAATTTAATACGTAAATAATCTTTAATACTTTTTAATGTTCAGCTTAGAGGATTACTTCACTAATATTATAATACTAAATAACCATGTAAGTATGCCGTAGATTATTAATACAAATGTAACACGTTACAAAATAGAAATGATATCTGCATAAGTGGGTGCCAAATTTAAATTGTTAAACGAATCGCTTACTATTTTTACTGAATTGTTGACATGAATATATAGTTTCATTATTATAATTTTATATTTTACAAACGAATCGTGATGTGTTTACTTATTTATTAGAAATAAAATTTGCCAAGTCAAAATTATGGTAGTAAGCGAACAATTTGTTGAACAATTTAAATTTAGCACCCGCTTGGACGTTTATGTTTTCGGCTGAGCTGACAAATTTCTTTTCTTTTTTTTTTTGCCCAACGCGGTTTGTTTTTTTACATTTATGTTTTTTTGCGGGTAGTAAATGATTATGGCAAGAACGATGAGACTGCACGGGCATAATGAATTATTCAAACCGGAATCACGAGTCGCGTAAAACTATAAAAATAAGCGCGTCATGTTTAAAATAGGGTCCGGACACTGATAATAATTAACATGGTAAAGATACGACATAAACAAAAACGTGGTGGCCATTTTACAAATTTATGATTTTTATCAACTTAGTATTATCAGTTAAACAAATACTAAATTTCAGTGTTTCATGAGTTGTTTATCATTTAATTTTGAATCTACATATATATATATTGTAATGTCAATAAAACAAAATATAAAATACAATTTTTATCATCGAGTTTATAGATTCAATTAGTAATAACTTGGATTATTTGTCTGAACATTTTTAATTTAAAAAGTAACCGTACAAGAATGGTACGAATTAAATAAACAATAAGGATAACATTGAGTAAGAATATATAAGTTCTGTATGATAATTCACACGTCTTCACAGCACAATTATACAGTTGTACGAAAACCCTCTACGTGACATTATAATAAAATATTATAAATTACACGATTTGATACAATTCGATTTGAGTTTAAAAGTCAAATCAAATGTTAAACAATAACTCAATATCCACGACACGAAAAATCGTACACGGAGTATCACACAATCATCACGTAAATTGATAAAATCACAAATGGCAAAATGGCCGCCACGTTTTTGTTTACATTGGGAGTGTCCCTTCTGCTTTAATATATTCCGTGTTTAAATGCAAACACGAATACAGTACCCACTATTGATATTATTAAACGTTCGCGGAAAATAATAGTAAATTTTTTTCCTATTTTATGTATAGATATACGCGGTGTAATCGCTTGAGCCTCCTCCTCCTGTAGTCCCCTCTCCTTTATCCGCATACATTTAGACATAGGCGCTTACTTAATCGTATCCACTCGCGGTATTATAGCAGTGTTAAACAGGCACCGCCGTCAAACAGAAAGAAATCGTGAAAAAAAAAAGCAGAAAAAATACAGTGACCCGCACGTCATTAGAATATCATGTACGAGAATCCGTCTACGACCGGCAACTCACTGTACCCGTGTATAATAATAATAATAATAATATTTGCCGTCTAAACCCGTCCGGTCGGTTTTTTTTTTTTAAATATTATTTTATTATTATCACGACACCTTGCCGCCTCGTGATTTTTTCTTCTCGCGCATCCCTCTCGCAAACGTAGACGCGCGCACATTTCCATATGACTTTATAGTATTATTACTATCGTGGTCGTTGCACGAAGTGCCGTCATTCAACCTGACGAGTCCGTTGTGATATACGAGTATTATAATCCGCGTTAAATAATAATAATAATTACCGCGTTACCGGTTACCGAAACGTGCAGTGTTTTCCAACAATATGTTAAGCGGCAACAAAACAATACAATGAAATATACTCGTGATTCGAAATACTCGCACGCGTAATTCAATAATAAATGACGTGACGGGGATACTGCGCGGGGATATTGTAATATTATCTATACCGGGGACTCCTACAGCGCGGTTACCGAAAATGATACCGCGATTAATGTTACCGCACGCGTGAAATAGACCGACGACGGCGGGTGTTCGTATATGATTGACTCAACACGGGGGAAGAGTGGTGATAGTTTATTTCTTCTTCGAGCGACTATACCATCGGTTCATGGGAAGAAGGACTCGAGTCGATTTTCGGGGTTTTTTTTATGTACAGAATAATTTAGTTCTGCTTAAATATTTCGCGTTATCGTTTAAATGAAACGCATTTTATTACGGCATTTTCCTTCGACAATCGTGTGTGATTTAGATTTGTAGTTGTTGGTACGGTATTTATTTTTTTTTTATCCCGTTTGAGATACAATACGTATGCAACGAGATGTACAAAACCACGTGTCCGTCAAATGTGCACATACGCATACGCACGATATAATTTATCAGTCGCGCGTCTTTTTATAGACGTAAAAAAAAAATTGTTTTCTAACGGTTGAGTAACAACTCGACATATGGAAAAAACATTAGACTATTATACACAGATACAGATTCTTTAATAGTAGAAATGACAACTGATGATTTTTATACAAATGTAAACAACAATAAACAACTTTTAAATGAATTTGATTTTTCAGATTATCCAGAGAATAATAAATATGGAATACCACGAATAAATAAAAAAGTTCCAGGTAAATTTAAAGATGAACTTAATGGTCAAATAATGACAGAGTTTGTTGGGTTAAGATCTAAATTATATACATATAAAATATTTGAAAATAAAAATGTAATTAAAAAGGTAAAAGGTGTGAAAAAATCTATAGTTAAAAATAAATTATGTTTTAATGATTTTTATAATTGTTTAAACAATAAAAATCCAAAATATGTAAAACAGAACACTTTTAGAACAGATAAACATGAAATTTATACTGTTGAACCAAATAAAAAAGCCCTTAGTGCATATGATGATAAAAGATATATTCTAGAAAACGGTATTGATACTGTAGCTTGGGGACATTATTCAACTAAAATAAAAAGAGAAAATTTCAGAGAATACCTTGATAATTTAATAAAAACAAATAATAAAATATAATGTTAATTTAAATATTATGAAATATAATTTTTCAATCATAATTTTTTTTTAAATATTATTTTTAATTTATTTATTTTTTTATTTCAAATATTATTTTTATTTTATGCATGTGAACAAAGAACAGGAAATAAAACAATGTAAATATAGATCAGAAATTAGTTTTAAAGTGAAAACTATCAGAAGTGTCCCAGAACCGGCATATTGATACTAATAACGTGCAATAAGGATAAAGGATAATTATAATAAGTGTAATGAGGATAATACCATTATAAGTTTTGACTTGTGACTTTTGATAGTCTTCGACATCCTAGATATCAGGCGGATTGTGGATCTTTATGAAGGATATGACATTTTTAAACTTATATCAAATACTTATAATCTATTTGTATAGGTAAATTACGTGCTTGAACAATTTATTAAAAATGTTAGGTCTAGCGTCTAATCGCGGGGTGTTCAAAATAACAAAATTAGTGTCCAAACGTTTTTAATATTCAGGTAAAAATTCAATGTAATGCCAAATACTTTTTGCTCATATGACATTAGCTAATATTTTAGTTATAACTATAATAGGAAAATTTATATTTTAGCTATTTCAAGGAATAAGATATGCAGGAAAGTATTATTCAATTAAAATATTGTAATTCTATTTTTATAACGTTTGTTTTACAATCTGTACCAATATATTATACGAGTACGACCTAAAAACTAAATCTAATTTGTTATGCTATTATAGTACGTATGTATACTATATTAGAATATAATACAAACGTCAATATACATATTTTAC